TAGATAGTCCGGATTATAATATACTAAGTAAGAAACGTTTACGTCTCTAATTTATACGGCAGTTTTGTAGGGTCATTTTCAGCAAAGAATAAAGTATCAAAATAGCAAAAATAACGTTCACGCGTGACAATTGTTTGTTTATTTGAGATTATCTTTCAAGGCTTTTTTCTGGATGTATGTTGACCCTCTCTTCCTTACTGATTAAAACTATCGATATTTTGTTATAAACCTCTATGAACTATATATAAAGCACGCGTGATTCTTTCTTCTAATTCTTTTACATTAAATAATGTCAAAATTGCCAGTTATTTTTTAAATAAACGGTCAAAAGTTCAGTGGAAATACCTGCGTCATTTAGAAAAGTTCTCAGAGGTAAGAAATGACATAGAAAGGTGTCTTGGTCTTTCATATCCAGCACTAATAACATTTTTTTATTTACACATTCAAGTACAAATGTAGATATTTGAAAGAAATTCTTGTCTTTCATTTCTGTAAAAAATGTATATTTACTTACAAGGAAAAATATCTTTTAGTAATAATTATGGACTAACAAGTGAAATGAATGAGGGCGGGGAATTAACATCATTTTTAATTACCAAACAGTACTTCTATCATAATAAAAGCTAACTAAGTTTATCATGGTTATGACCATAAAGCACAACGTTATTGCAAAAAAGTACAACAACAAAAATACAAACAAAAAACAAAGAAACAAAAACAAACAAACAAAAAAAACTTAAGAGCAATATCGCTTTTTCTGAAACTGTTGAATAAGAACGTTTGTTTCTCTTTGTTCTAAAATACTGACATCTGTTTTAATTGCTTTTATTCACGCATAAAATCAATTAAAGCCTCGGTCTCACTTACTCCCGGCAGAGCCCAGGATCATCCCGGTAAGTTACCGGGATGATCCGGGACGATCCGGGGTGAAATTATTGTTGCGGTCACACCCCGGCAGCACTACGGTAGTTCTCAACTAACCACCCAGGATGCGCTCCGGATCATCCAGGCAGAGCCCAGGTGCAGCTACGGTTCATGCCGGTGCTTCCCCGGTCGTTCCCGGATGACGCCGGAAGAGCCCCGGTTGACCCAGGCAGAGCCCCGGTCGATCCAGGCAGAGCCCAGGACGATCCAGGCAGAGCCCCGGTAGAACCCCGGTGAATTGAAAACGCCCGAAAATGATAACATTGATACATAATTTTTATTTAATATAATATCTATTGTTCCAGAATAGTAATTCATGATGATTTTCTGAAAAATCCTTATGCCATACTGGATAGAAGGAAAATGGGAGGGGTTTTTATACCAGCAAGTGCAATCATCGCAAATTGTCGTTATTCTTTTGAAATGATCCGGGCTTTGCCGGGGCTCTACCGGGATCAATCGTAGCTCTACCTTTATCATCCGGGGCTCTGCCTGTAGTTGCCGGGGCTCTGCCGGCATTTTCCGGGGCTCTACCGAAGCTCTACCGTAGCTCTACCGGCTATATCATACCCAGGATCATCCCCGGTTTGTGCCGGCAGAGCTACGGTGCTTCCCCTGTATAACCCCGGTCGTTCCCGGCAGGGATAAGGATGAAGCCGGCAAAGCTATACCTTCCCGGATCATCCCGGACCACCCCGGTGATATTATTGCCGGCAGAGTTACGGATGTACACCGGTTGTTCCCGGTCGTACCCCGGTCGTTCCCGGATCACCCCGGACGTCTACCGGGGCTCTGCCGGGATGTAAGTGAGACTGTAGCTTAAGAGCTACTTCCATTTTTTGTTGTTGACATTCCATTAGTTTTACAAGCAATGTAAGTGTACGCTATTTCAACAAGTTTGAGTCCTTTAAACGTCATGGATTTTTGTATCAACACATCTGATACTAACGCATAACTAAGATTAAAAATATAGTAATAGTTAAACATTGACTCTTATTTAGTATGTTGCTTCTTTCATTTATTTTACAAAACATGTACTATATAGAGGGTATTAAATGACTGTAGATTCAATACTGAATTCATTAGAAATTGAAAGTTTAATTTTAAAACCAGGATTTACTCGACTATATATTCACAAAAGATATAAAAGACTTATTATATTTTTAAGGAACTGGATCAAGCACGTTTCAAGCATTTTTCACATTCCCAGTGTAAGACAATTTTATACTTAGATAGCAAAAGTAACCAGTTTCTAATTTATCACCATTTTAAACGTTTCAGATTGTTTTCTCTTTTAAAAATACTAACTTTGGTATTTTATGCCAACCTCAAGGTCTTAGTTGAAAGAATATTGAAAGATACAAAATCAAGTTAAAATCACAAGCTGTCAGCATTTGATGTAAATAAAACATTGTCATCCGCAAAAAATTACTTATGCATTGACAACTGGTTTAAATCGAATACGAATACGAAAAGTTTATTTGTATAAAGCATAGTACAATGCTTATAACAAGTATAAATTGTAATATATACAATGTTTGGAGATCAAAACATGGATTTTTCCAGCAAACATAAGATGTTTCATGGAATATTATGTTCAATATTCAATATAATATTTAACATGTTTAATATATATGTTGCGCTTGCGTGCATAAGTTTCAAATAAACAGACGCCAACCTACAATATCCTGAATAGTCTGTACTTAACTTATTCTATCATTTTCTAAAATATAAAGACATGAAGAACACTAAAGTCCTTTAGACTAAAAGTAATATTCACTGTTGCAAGTCAGTTCTTTTGAAAGATATACATGCAAATGCAAACATCTTAAACAATAAATTATGGTTCGAATATATTTCATTTTCAGATATTACTAGAAGAGATACTATGAAATACGTTGTCTATTTGCTAAGTAAATAAATTTAGATAAAGCACATATAGTTTTCTTAGAATTAGAAGACATTAGGCTGTCGAATTTTATAACAGACGGCCAGTGACAATAATAAGGTTTAAAAAGCCTTTTCCTCAATTCTCTATAACGTGGACAGACTAACAAAAAATGATACTCTTTTTCAGGTTGTCTGATTAAAAAAGATTTACATATTCTTTCTGATCTTGGTATATTTTCATATTTTCATATCGACCAGATTCTACACATAAGTTATGTGATGACGTTCTAAATTTAGTAAGAGCAATTCTATGATTTTTGTCTGTGATTAAATCAAAATACTTTTCACATTTAAAATCATGTTTAAAAATGCTATAAGTTTGCAGGCGACTAGAATTGTTTATATCAGTATACCACTTCTGTATAAAAGTATCTATAATTCTTTGTCTGATAATGACAAAGGGAATATCTATATCAAACTGGTTAATCCACACATACGCTAAACCATGGGTTGTTAAAATGTTTTTAATACAAAAGCCCAGTTTTTCGAGTTATATGTATTCCCAAAATCAACATCTTGCTTAAGCATTGAATAAACTTTTTTAACAATCTCTCTATCGTCAAGCTTAATAATTTTCACCCAAAACTTAATCATCTTAATTTGTCTCATCACAGAAAAAGGGTAACGGCCTAATTCACCGTATAGCGCCGAGATGTTAGTTGATTTTCGAACGCATAAAAGTCGTCTCAAAAATTTTGTATGTATTTTTTCAACATCGCGTCCGCCATGCATTCCCCAAATTTCTGATCCAAAGTTAAGGATTGAGCCGACAAGTGAATCAAAAAATCTACATTTCTGAGAAACAGACAACTCAATATTATTAAATATGGTAAAAACGTTATAAAGAGCAAATGAGGCATGTTCAGATATATATTTCTGAGTTCTATACCAGTTTCCGTTCTTTAACAAAGTGATACCTAAATATTTGAATGAATTCACCAGTTCAATAAGGGTGTCGTTAACATAAAAGTCATGGCGTGTATGTCTGCCCTTTTCAAAAATCATTGCTTTTGTTTTCGAGGTATTTATCTTTAATCCCCAAAGACTACAGTATCTCTCGACATCAGACATCATCGACTGTAAACTCTGCGGGGACTTAGCAAACAATACTTGGTCGTCTGCGAACAGTATTAAGAATAGCTGAAGTTCATCAATAGAGAAAATACCTTCTAGGTCGGTATTAATATACCTTAAGATGTCGTTAACGAAGAACATAAACAGCAGAGGGGAACTCGGGTCCCCTTGCTTCAAACCTATATGCGATTCGAAGAAGTCGGAATAATTCGACTTATATTTAACACACGATTTTACCTACATATACATTGACTTTAGAGCTCTCACAAGTCTAGAACTTACGTTTTCTTTAAGCAATTTATGCCATAAATATGTCCTGTCGATCTTATCGAAGCATTTCTCATAATCTATAAAAATATCCGATATTTATTTAAAATCTAAACAGTAATTAGTATTGTTAAAACAAAATAAATATTTTCGGCGAAAGCGGTTCCCCTTGTTTTAATCCAATACTGTTTAACAAAGTAGTGAAACATTAATGCGACCATGATTAGTCGTATCAGTCGCGCCGTCTGATAATTGTATTCAATATTCGCTTTCGAACATAATTTAATTTGAAATTATACCGGCAAAGATCACATGTTTGTCCGGATTGTCGGATTGAAAGATGGACATGATATAAGGTGTGGATTGTCGGATTGAAAGATGGACATGATATAAGGTGTGGTTATTGTTGAACTTGAAGAAGTTCCATGAAATATACGTTACAATATTGCAAAACAAGGAAATATATACAACATATATATACCTAACTTAAAAGACCTGGGTGCATAATGCATTTCAAATTTTTATCAGCATTTGTAATGAATCTAATTATATTTTCCATGATTCTTAAAATGTTAAAACGTTTTTATTATTATTATTACTTTAATTATTATTACTTTTATTATTATTATTATCATTATCATTATATAATTATTTTCATTATTATTATTATTATTATTATTATTACATTACATAATCGATTGGCATTTATTTATAATGACTTAAAGCAATGTTAAAGTTTCAAAAACATAACTTTAAAAGAAATACTTGATTTGATTTTCACCAACCTTTTTGATTGCCAATTCCATAGTTACTTCTTCTAATTTATTTCCGAATGATCTTGCTCCACTAAAAGGAACAAGAACACCAATTGAGATCGTCCGGCATTCACTTTGTTTTATCAGCACCAATGTAATAATAAGTATGTAAAAGTGTATTATTTTGGCATTTGATGCTTGATATTTCATTTAGCAACTTTTAAGAACAATTTATTATATTTTCATAAAAAAATATCACTGATTTTTCAAAGTGTGTATAATCATACAGAAAAAACAAAACAAATTCAAATTATGAATGATACACTCGTAAAGCTTGTCAACAATAAATGACTATTAACGTTTGTTTTAAAAGTAGAATGTAATAAACCACCAAGTGAATAACGACTGCAATATGTTTTTGAGAATTTGCACGATCACTGCACGAAACATAAACTCACAAATGCAATTCAAATTGCGTTGGGTAACAAATATTCACTCGTTACACGATAAAGCTACTCAGAAAGAATATGTTACAAAAACAGGTTTTAGAAATGTTCACTGAAAATTGAACGATCATAGAATTTAAAAACGTCTATGATTGTATCTATGTCTAAAAAAGACTCTATTTGACTGACTAGCTTATTAAAAACATCCTTGTTCGAGGTGATGAAAATTGTTTTAGAAGTTCCATTTATCGCACCTAGAATATACAATCATAAAGTTCGAACATTAATCCATGTTTCGTTTTATCTATCAAACTTCCTTACATTTTTTTGTACCGAAGATAATTGCTTTTCAAAATAGGTCTGTTTCGTTGTAAAATTTATCTAAATCTGCGAGTATATTCAACGATCATAAATCGAATCGATTACACCATTGTGAATGTCGGATGTATCCAGGAACTTAATCTCAATGATGTGAAAATGAAAGATTTTGCAATTTAGAAACTCATAATATTGTGATGCTTCTCACAAAAGTGTTTGAGTGCAGCCGTTTAAACAGATAAAGTTTTTGTTTTTGTATTTAGCCTGCAAACATAAAGCAACACAAAAATCTGATTTTCAACTAAACGAACGTGTAATCTCAAATCACATAAGTAGTCTATATAATTTTTTTACAAGAACGTGTTTTTGATTTTTATATGATCAGCAGGCATGGGAAGGGCATATTTCATGCATGCTGATTTTGTATCTATAAATAGATATAAAATGTAATATGCATGTCCTGGAAACGTACAAAAACACGTTTCAGTTCACCTTAAAGCTTCATGCCTCCAGATGAGCCAAAATATTTCAAGAAAATCGGACTTCTGAAAAATGTGTTGTTTTTTTTCTAGTAAATATGTAAAATGTTCATCCGGATCTAGTTATTGGACAAGATGTAATTTAAAGCGAGCATTCCGTCAACATTCCAGTCTATTAGAAAACACTTTTTTATGAAAAACAAAAAAATAATGACTGATTTTGCAGTATTTATCACCATATTGCTACTAATAGACTCACACAGTAAGGGCTGATTTTGAATATTTCGACCTCACTTTAGTAATAAACGCAGATTGTAGGTGACGTTTGCAAAAGAAATAAATATTGAGGCATGCTGCTTCAAGGCTGTATTACATTAGTTTTGAAACTAACATTTTTATTCCTTCAAACAAAGTTTTACATTGTTTTCAATACTTAAATTACTTATGTTCTATAGTTTGTTTCCATTACAGTTTTTCTTATCAACATTCAGGTTTCAGGGCAAAAACAAACAAACAAACAAACAAACAAACAAAAACATACGAGCACTCACGGCAAGTGATGCTTTTTAACATGCTGGCTTGTATTTAATATAGATAAAATTGAGAACACTATTATATATGATTTTAAAGTTAAAAAAAATGTCCGTTTTATGTACTTTTTATTTAAAATTGAACTTGTAAATTGAAAACATAAAGAAATGTATCACATAAAAATAATGTTTTGTCTTTACTACAATGTATGCAGCTTAAAAGAAGAAAAAATTAATTATGTAGAGAAACATACGCCATTAATGTTCATATCAGATCGAATAATACTTTCAACATTGTTGTTACACACCTTCACCAAGACAGATTCAGAAGTTGATATTATTGTGTTTCAATAATACTTTTATTTGCAAATTAGCAAATCATTTGTAAATACATAAAATTATTTAAATTGGAAACAAATTGCACTAGATTTATGTGACAAGAAAAATGCTTTAATGTTCCTCTGAGGAAACTAAACAAAACAATAAATCTGGGAAGCTAGTGTTTTACAAAAAGCGTACATTTCGTTATAGATAAAAAGTGTAGTCTATAGGTTTGTTAATATAAAACATACGTAAAGTGCTTTCTTCTGTGTTATTCCACAGTTTGTTGACTTTGTTGAAATTATTATTAAATATCAAATCAAAAAATGCAATTTCACATATTCCTACTCAAATTATGCCACTAATTCGTTGTCGTTATAAAACAGCAGAATAATATAACATTTGTTATTGACATAAAAATAACTTCTGTCTATTTTTAAAAGTAAGTGGCCAAGATTTCTTAACGTACTCAATTGAGGTCCAAAGGCTTCAAAACATAAACTATGTCAATCTTCATAGAACAACTGCTGCACTTAAAAAGGAAGAAACATGAAAAGATAATAATAAATTTACTTAGTATTAAATTAAAAATCGACATTGAAAGCGAATATAAGCCCGATAAGAGATAAAAGCGTTTAAACGCTTTTAATTTTTATGTCATTTTGCATCAGTAAAATGATAATTCTGTACAAGCGAGATCATATGATCTGATATTTTACGCTTTAGTTAACCGTATAAGTCTACACTAAATGGTATAAGTTCAGCAAAAATGTCCAGGCTCTTGTGAAAGAACTGCATGGCAGTAATTTATGTTGACTAGTTTTTGAATGTGTATTTGTGTTATTTGCATGTCCATAATCAATTCCAAAAGAGACGTTTACTGCTCTTATTCACGCATAAAAGCAATTTAGACTTTTTCCGGTAAGTGTTGTCTGAGCTTGATTATGTTTCAACAAGGGCACTACATTTGCAAACTTTGCTAAACATTACAATATAATGTAGCATGGAGACTTTGATACAATAAACAAGTTAGATATTGACATTCGGAAATGTGCATCAGTTGCAAGTAGCGTACTTTGTTCCCATACTGCCAATATCTTTTTCTATGACACTACGAATTACGCCAACCTGTTCTTTATGACTGTAATTAAAACATTTCTTTTGATTTCCTTTTCCCTAGATTACCAGTAACATCAATTGGACCAGTGCAATAATGAAATGGATGATGACTTCATTTGATACTTTGGTGCAGTCTACGATATCCTCCAGAGTTGTGACTCTGGATCCTAGTCGGCTAGTCTTAGCCAATGCAATTTTGAGCGAGCTATCTGTCGACCAAACCTTCTATTTTCTTTGTTTTAATCATTGAGCAGCTGCCTATGCCTTGGTAATAGTATTTTCTTCTTGATGCTTCTGTGATTCCAAGTTTGTTAAAGGTTATCCATAGGATCTATCCAGTATAACTGCGATCAACAACATCAAAGGGAAAGTTTGAAGTCTTCGCTGTCGTCATAAGCCCATCAGCGGAAAGTTCTTGGCTCTCTTTTTCATGTGCCTAAGTTTTAGGTGGTGTTGAATATATTTTTACAAAAAAAACAAACTGTAATAAGTTTGAAAGCTAAAAAATACAGACGTGACTTTGGTTTAAAATGGTTTGATTCTACAAGAAAATCACACTTATTGTCTTTGAAGAATAGTTCTAAGGCATTTCAAAAAAAGTATGTAATCATTAAGTTTTTCAATTTTCTTTCTGAGTATTATGTTAAATTGACTTAAACATACAAAAAGTCAGCTTCAAATGAGATTGTTGTTCTGTCTTTTTTTCTCAGGTCTATTTTCACAATCATGTGTTAATGTCCTTTGCCTTAGAAGCAGAATTTATTGCGCATATTTTTGTGATATTATTTAGTTTAACATTTCTTGATTTAAAAATGTTTTATAATTTGATTAAATCTGAGCCTAAAAGCAAATCTTTCACGGCAATTTGTCCCTCAACATTACTTCTATTTGCCGGTCGAGAGAAAGGTCAGCGATTTTCAATTAAGATGTAAGTGTTTGATCTTGTTTAAAAACTGTAATGAAACATGAAAACCCAGCAGCATAATTCAAGAAAGAAAAAACATTGTACTGAAGCAACCATTCCTTGATCGCGCGTTTGCGCTTTTTTTTCTTAACCCTCGCCCCCCACCCGACATTTGCATGTGCATTAACATTTTGATGTAGTTATTAAGTATCCTGTTGATAACTGATCATTAAATCAATTAGTCTTCTCTCCTAATAACCTTGTTACATTAGACTTTCTGCAATAGCTAAAATCATAACAGCATGATGAACGTTACATTAAAAATGCCGAAACCAAGACATGCTTTTAGTGTACATGGAATTTAAAAATAAATTTGTGAAGCTAAAAAACTCATCGTTTCATCGACATAGGGATATCTTTAAGATTCACAAACCCACCAAAATGACACCTTGTAAAATGCAAGTTATTAAAAATCTGATAAAGTGTGATCCCTCGAAAGCATTAAGGTATGAGCCCCCTAATGGGCACTATAAGGAACTATAAAATTGACAACATAGGTCAGTTATATACCTTAAAAGACACAAGAATGCAAAATTTAAACAAAGTTTACCGTATGGTTTACGAGTTATGGAGAATTTTCTTAAGTTAAACTTGGCCATTAGAAGAGCTCTTTTTCAGAAATGAGAAACTCTAAATATTCCATTTTATAATTATTATGAAAAAATGTTTTCCTATAGAACATTTTTGAGAAACAAATAATAGCATTCAGCTAACATATGACCTAGCAAAATTATTGTTTCTACTCAAAATTTTTGAAATATGTATATAAAAGTTACCCTACCCCACCCATTTTAAGTACTTGTTTGATCATTTTTCTACTTGGAGGGCCTTATTCAAAAAATCCCTATAATTTACTCAAATAAGGGGCTTTTTTCAAAGTTTGCATAAATTTTCTTAAAAGTATATTGGTTGCGCTTGACATATAACATACTTTTACCGTCTAGTTTTTATTTTATAAGACTTTGAAAATATCAGGTACCATATTTGATAAATAATTTGGCACAATTTAGCCAATAAATACCAATAATAATTTCATACTTAAAATGAAACACTTTTTTCTTCTCAAGAGTGATATGAGAGACACAAAA